TAAAACTCAGAACTTACTAAGTTTTTGTTTACATGTTAGTTTGCTGTCAGTAGTTAATTGCATTCATTAACGTTGCAACCAGTTTTATGTGTCTTGCTGTAACTTCCTGTTAATTCTCACATCTTCCCTTTGGGACCACTTCTCTATCTCCACTATTCAGTATAGATAAAGGGTCTATGGGCAGTAAATTCTCAATCTGTGTGTCTTTAAAATTGTCCCTCTTTCACTCTCGCTCTCAACTGAAAGTTTACTAGAAAAAGAACTATACATTTGGGACGCCTGAGTGGCTCAGTGGTTGAGTGTCTGCCTTTGGCTCAGGGCATGATCCCGGGGTCCTGGGATCGAGTGCCACATCGGGCTCCCTACATGGAGCCTGTTTCTTCCTCTCCCTGTGTGTGTCTCTGCCTCTCTCTCCGTGTATCTCATGAATAAATAAATAAAACCTTAAAAAAAAAAGAATTATACATTTAATAGTTAAGAGCACTTTGAGGATGATTTCTCCTGACACTAACTGTTACTGATGCAAAGTCTGCTGTCAGTCTAATTTGTAGGTAATTCCCTGCTCACTTTAAATATTTCTCCTTTTAAAATTTTTTCTTAAAAAAAAAATAAAAAAATAAAATTTTTTCTTAAAGATCTTTAGTTTCTCTATGTCTTTTTTTTTTCCAGCCTTCTTCTGTAATAGGGAGAATCCTATCTCAGTTTTGTGCTCATTTCATGTTCATTTCACCCAGAGGAGCACATCTTTCAAGGACTAGGCTTCTGCTTCTGCCTACTTCTTCGTGTTCCATTCCATTTCTGTTCCAGAGAGGTTTATTTTCTTGCTTTTTATTTCTTTGCTTTAGCAAGGTATGTCCCTTTAAATTTCTCTGATTTCACCAATCACTGGGGTTTTTGTTTGTTTGGGGGGGGGGGTATTGTTTTTTGGCTTTTTTTTTTTTCTTTTAAACCAACCATTCCTTTTGTTTGGCCAGTGGAAGGTCTCAAAGTGCGCACTTACAAGGCTATCTTGACTGGAAACATTCTTTATGGCTTTCTTTAAAAACAAAAACTAATGCTTTTTAAGGTTCAAACTCTATGTCAGATGTTTATCTGAAAGCTGGCACAGTGGTAAGATAAGGCTGGGCTTCTAAATTTATAAAATTCACTAACTGCTAGAATAAAATATACCACTTATTACAATAATATATATTCAACAAACTTTTATTGACCATTTGGTCTTGAAATCCCAGCTCTGCTACTTGGTAGCTCCATAATCTTGAGAAAGTTATTTAACTTCTGTGTGCAGCCTTCCTCTTCTGTAAAGACAATTGTGAGGTTTAAGTGAGGTAAATTATGCAAACCACTTAGAATAGTACCTGTCATTATTATTAGCTCACTGAACATTAGCTGCCATTATTATTATTTATTATTATTATATTCAGGGGGAACACTCTGCACTCATGTTTCCATATAGGCAAAAGATGTCCCACTCCATTTCCCATGTCCTAAAAAGAACATTTCCAGCTTCTCTATGTCCTTCACTCATTCCTCTCCAGGATAGGCAGAGAGGACTTATCTGACTGCTGAGGTTGGGAGATGAAACGGAGTATGATGGCATCAGTTCTTTCCAGGTTCCCTTCCGGTCAGAATAGCCTGCCTACAGCGCACATAAATTCTGCTTTTGGCTTGAAGGATTAGACTTTGTCCCAGTAAAGGGAAGATCCCAGTTTTGCTTATTTTCTTGTTTTTTGAGGGGAAGTTTCAATTTGGGAGGAAGTATATACCAGCTTTCTTAGTTGTAGAATTTAAGCCATGTTTACCAATTAATTTATTAGTAATAAAGCCAATATTCTGATTTCCATTTATATATCACCTGTCTTATTTCTAAACTTGTTCCAAACTCAGGGGGGAGAAGAAAAGGGTATTAGTCATTGGCTATCCAAAAGCTCAATTACTGGGACGTCTGGGTGGCTCAGTGATTGAGCATCTGCCATTAGCTCAGGGTGTGATCCCAGAGTCCTGGGATTGAGTTCTGCATCGGGCTCTCTACAGGGAACCTGCTTCTCCCTCTCCCTGTGTCTTTGCCTCTCCCTGTGTCTCTCATGAATAAATAAAATCTTTAAAAAATAAAAATAAACAAATAACAAAACCTCAATTACTAACAGTATTAGTACTGACTATGCAATCTTTTTTTTTTTTAAAGATTTTATTTATTTATTCATGAGAGACACAGGGTGGGGGGAAGGGGTAGAGACACAGACAGAGGGAGAACTAGGCTCCATGCAGGGAGCCCGACATGGGACTTGATCCCAGGTCCCCAGGATCAGGCCGAAGGCCGAAGGTGGCGCTAAACCGCTGAGCCACCCGGGCTGCCCAAGACTATGCAATCTCTTAAGGAGATTAAATAGAGTAACACATATAAACCTCTTCTTTTTTTTTTTAAGATTTTATTTATTCATGAGAGACACAGAGAGAGAGGGGCAGAGCCACAGGCAGAGGAAGAAGCAGGCTTCCTGCAAGGAGCCCCATGCAGTACTTGATCCCGGATCTCGGGATCACACCTTGAGCTGAAGGCAGACGCTCAACTGCTGAGCCACCCGGGCGTCCCCAAATATAAAGCTCTTCAAAGTGTTTGAGACACAGTAACATTCAATAAATATTTGCTTTAATATTATGTACCCGATATTGTGCTAGATGGTGAACTAATCACCAGTTGCAAGAGGAACTTAATCCCTCAGCAGAGTCTCGGATGGTTAACCCTATAACTGGGGCACTGCAACAAAAAGAGTAGCAATCCCACAATTCTCTCATTAAATCAAGCATCTTTACTAAGCAAATACAATGTCTCAAGAACTATGAGAGGTACTGGGAATTCAAAATTACATATACAAATCTGTCCTTAAGATGCTTACAGGTTAGAGGATCTATCCAACAAAGGAAGAAAGAGTTATAAAGTAGTAGTTCTTATGTCAAAGGTATACACAGTGTTGACAAACTTTAGGAACTCAAAATATAAGGGCTTCAAATAAATTTTAAAAAGCTACTCAGAAGTTTGAACTCAATTTGATGAAGTCACCCAAAATACCTTCAATTTTGCCAAATCCAATGGGCAATTTTCAGTCTCCATCTTATTTGACCACTCCCTCCCCTTAAAAGCCAAAAACCAACCCCCCAAAAAACCTCTTTTTCTTCGGCCTCTGAGATACTATGAGATTCCCCACTCTTTTCCTTATACATCTCTCATCACTTTTTCTCAGGCAACTTTTCCAAAGCCCCCTCCTTTATTTAGCCCTTAACAGCTAGAGGTCCTCAAGGCATAGTTATCAAACCCCCCTTTTTTTCTCACTGTCCAGCTTGTCCCTAGTCTGAACTTATCATTTCAGTGACTATGTGCCATTGCCCCCCCTCCACATTTATAACTCTAATTCCTCTGAACTCCATCTGCACATGGATATCTTGAAGGCATCTCAAAATCCGTCTGATCAAATCTCAGCTCTCAATCTGCCTCCACCAAACCTGGTCTTCCCTCAGTGTCCTTAGTTCTCCCAGTGCCTGGAACACTTATCCATCCCATTATTTTACCCAAGCCAGGAACCCAAAAGTCATCCTCAACACCTTCTTTTTCCTTATACCCTAAATTCAAAGTATAGCAGGTCCTAAAGATTTTTACCTCCTAAAACTTTCCTAATCCATCTTCTCTCTATTCTGCTGTAACACTGTTCCAAAGTATTTCAAAGTATCCAGATAGCATCTCTTACCTGATATACTACACAATCCTCCTTTCTGTCTTTCCACATGTATTCTTACTTCTTCTACAGTCTTTACCACAGACAGAGCAAAATTGTTAAAACACGAATCAAATTATATCTCTGCCATGCTAAAAAATCCTTCAACACAATTCACTGCTCTTAGGATAAAATCCTTTAAAAGATTCTATATGATGTGACCCCTGCCTTCCTGTCCAGCCTCATCTGATATCACTCCTCCTTATCACTCTGACCTTCCTTTAATCCCTAAAACCCACCATGTGCCCTTCCACTTCATGGCCTTCGAACATCCCAACCTCCTCTGCTGGAAGGCTCTCTCTATTCAGCCCCCACTCTCTGTACCTGGTTCATTTCCACTTATCCTTGGATTGTAGTCTTAAAAGCCCAGTTCTCCAAAAGGTCTTTCTTGAGTCCCTAGAGTGTAAGTAAGGCCCTTATTGCATGCTTTTATAGCACTTTTTGCATGCTTTCATAGCACATGTTAGGTTACTTTACCAGTGTTTGTCTCCTCCACGCACTCCTGCTGGAAAATATCCATTTGTTTACCAAAATACCTTTAGCACTTACAGAGAGAGCACAATAGCTGACATACAGCAGGTACTCAATAAATAGCTGCTGAATGAATGGAGCATTCCAGCAACAGAATTTCACACAATGAAGAATTATGAAACAATGTGGTCACTAAGAGCAAGTAGTGTAGAAAACTCACCTCACTGGTTTGTGGCTGGTATTAAGTGGGATAAAGAACATAAATCACCTGGCACAGTAACACAGATAGTAGGTACTTAGTAAATATGAATTACCTTCTCTTTCTTTTCTCTAACTGCTTTTAGATATAGAGACAGCACTGACTATAATAACACTGTACTCAGTTTCTTAAATTTACTCAAAGTGTAAAAGGTATCCGAAACATTTAATAAATTGTATTGTACTTAGTCAAAATTCACCATTCTGTTCTAATCCTCCAAAGAATTAAACAGAATAAGAGCAAACAGCCCGATTTCCTCATAGGTAAATTAATCACCTGAATTTAGAAAAGATAAACTGGGGTGGTTACAAAATATCCATTTTATTTTAAAATGGATTTTATCCATTTCACTTTAAAAAGCATTCATTCACCTTAAGCGACACTAAACAAACTTAGAATGATACTTAAAAGAAGATTCTATTTACACATAGCTTTTTTACATACTATATGTCAAAGCACAGCTACACTAAACAAAATTCACAGCACTAGGAAAATCCTCTTACCTTATGTTCAAACGGAGCACCATAGTAGCCATCGTTCAACCCAAAAATTATTTCATTTTGGTTGCGGGCATGAATCTAAGAAAGAAGAAAAACACATTATCAGTTCTTCTCATTCCAATTAAGTTTTAATATGATTAGAGCATGACACAAGACCTACTTCAATGCTGAGAAATAGGCTGACTAATCTAACAAGCCAGCTAAAAAAACATATCATTTGTCCTAAGACCAGGTAATCAAATGAGAGCTTCCTGCTTTAGTCAAAGGGCTCACAAAATCATCACATGAGATTACAGGCATGATCATTCACATATATTTTCTATAAATACTTCTTGAGATTGCTATGGAAAGGCTACTTCTGAAATACAAATGATTCAAATGTATAGTATAGACATACTATACATTCTGTGATCTCAAAGAAAACACAATCCACTTAGTCTGTAAAAGTCCTTAAAAAACCATGAAGTCCTAGAAAAAACATAAAAGATTAATATTATTTTCTATTTTCAAAAAGGCACTTTAAAGATAGTATCTAAATTGCATCATTACTCTGGACTCTAGTTTCCTCAATTAAAATTAATGAATCAGTTTATGCTCTGTGATACCATACTTCTGTGCCTACCCCCAATTCCCCCGGCTAAATCCAACATATCCAAATTTCACTCAAGATTATCAATCAATTTAGCCTGATATCTGCAAAACATTCCATTCAATGACAATAGAATACACATCACATGTACAGGAAACATTCACCAAAAAGAGATTCTATATTCTAGGCCATAAAATAAATCTCAAAAAAAGCTTAAATGATTGAAATCAAACAAACTATTTTCTCTAAACTCAAAAGAGTTCAATCAGAAATCAACAAAAGAAGGATACCTGGAAAATCCACATATGTTTGAAAATTAAACACTATATCTCTAAATAACCCCTGGGTTACGAAGAAATAAAAGGGAAATTAGAAAATATTTTGAATTGAATGAAAATGAATATACATCACCAAAGTTTGTGAGTCACAGTTAAAGGAAGGCTTAGGGGAAAATTTAGTAAATGCTTACTTTAGAAAAGAGAAGTCTCCAAACAGTAATGCAAAATCCTACCTTAAACTAGTAAAGAGGAACAAAGTAAACCCAAAGCAAGCAAAAGAAAGAAAATTATAAGGATAAAATCATAAATCAGTGAGACTGAAAACAATAACAATAAACAATGAAACCAAAAACTAGTTCTTTGAAAACCTACAAAAATGGATAAATCTCTAGGCAGAGTGATCAAGAGAAGAAAGAGATGAGACAGAAATTACCAATAGCAAGAATGACAGAGGAAAGGATCATTATGTAGCCTATATACATTATAAGGATATAAAGTATAGTAATACTGTGGAAACTTTTATGCTTATAAATTTGAAATCTTAGGTGAAACTAACAAATTCTTTGGAAGACAAACTATCAAAGCTCACATAAGAAGATAGATAATATAAATACAGCCCCATATCTAATAAAGTAACAAGTCAGGCTTTTAAACTTTCCCACAGGGAAATCTTAACACCCACATGGGTTCACTGAAGAATTCTGTCAAACATTTGTGGAATAATAGCAATTTTACATAAATTCCTCCAGAAAACAGAAGAGTAAAGCCTTCCCAATCCATTTTACAAGACCAGCATTACTCTCATACTAAATTGGACAAGGATGGCTCAGCGGTTCAGCAGCTGCCCTTGGCTCAGGGTGCGATCCCAGGGTCCTGGGATTGAGTCCTGAGTCCCACATCAGGCTCCCCATACAGAGCCTGCTTCTCCCTATGCCTGTGTCTCTGCCTCTCTCTCTCTCTCTCTCATGAATAAATAAATAAAGCCTTTTTTAAAAAATAAATAAATAAATTGGACAAGGACAATACAAGAGAAGTACAAACCAGTATCTCCCATGGATATAGATGAAAGAAATCTTAATAAAATACTCACAAATGTATTTCTATATGAAAGGAAATTTCCTCAACCTGATAAAGTGTCTACAAAATTTATAGCTAATATTATACTTAATAATGAAAGACTGAATAGTTTTACACAGCATCAGTAAAAAAAAACAAGGTTGTCCAATCTACTCATTTCTATTCAACATTGTACTGAGGTCTTCACCAATGAAACGACAAGAAAAAAAGACATTCATTAGGAAGAAATTAAACCATCTATTCAGAGACATGATTCCCTACATAGCAATTTACAAGAGGAGTCTACCAAAAAACTACTAGATCTAATAAATGAGTTTAACAAAGTCACAGAATACACGTTCAATACAGAGATGTTTCTATATACTAGCTACAATAATTGGAAATAGAAATATTTTTAAATAGCATTTAAACTAGCATAAAAAAACATAGAATCCACAAGTCCAAATCTAACAAAATATGTGCAAGATCTGTATAGTGAAAAGTACCAAATGCTGATGAGTGAAATCAAAGATTTTCACAAATGGAGAAATATATCATGTCCACAGACTGAAACATCTGATACTAGTAAGATGTCAATTCTCCCCAAATTTTCTTAGATTTTTGTAGAATTCACAAATTAATTAATTCTAGAATGTATATTTAAAGGCAAGAGATCTAGAATAGCCAGAACAATTCTGAAAACAAGATCAAAGTTGAAGGATTGACATTATCTGAATTCATGAGGTGTAAAACTACAGTATTCAAGACAATGTGGTATTGGAATAAAGACAGACCTGTCGATCAATGAAATAGAAGAGAGTCCAGAAACAGACTCCCACAAATTATTTTTTAAAAACTGATTTTCAACAAAGATAACAAGGTAATTCAATGGAGAAATAACAGCTCCAACAACAGAGTGCAGGGACAAATGTTAACCAATCTGCAAAACAATGTGCCTTATACCTTAAATAAAAGTTAATCCAAAATTATCATAGACATAAACATAAAACCTAATACTATAAAACTCCACGAGGAAAAAACCCCATGGAAAAAAATCTTTGTGACTTAGGATTAGGCAAAAATGTCTTAGATAAGACACAAAGAGCATGAAACATAAAAGAAAAAACAATATAGTGGACTTTATCAACACTGATAAACTTCGATCATTTAAATGACAAACAAAAGGACAAGCCACAGACTGGCAGAAAATACTCAGAAAATAACTATCTTATAAAGAACTGACTCCTATCTAGAATACATACAGAAATTTTACAACCCAATAATGAGAATTCAAACAGCCAAATAAAAAGTAGGCAAAAGATCTAAATAAACATTTCACCAAAAAAGGGGTGAGAGAAAGAATGATGACAAACATTTTTTGTATTGCTCAACATGACTTAATCACTAGAGAAGTTCAAATTAAAATCACAAGATTCTATATACCCATAATGAAACAGTAGAAAGAGAAACTAAGAAAACCATTTCATTTACACCCAAAATAATAAGATACCTAGGAAACAATCTAACTAAAGAGATGAAGAACCTGTATTCTGAAAACTATAAAACACTATTAAGGGGCACCTGGGTGGCTCTGTGGTTGAGTATCTGCCTTTGGCTCAGGTTGTGATCCTGGGGTCCTGGATCAAGTGCCACATCAGGCTCCCCTGTGGAGAGCCTGCTTCTCCCTCTACCTATGTCTCTGCCTCTCTCTGTGTGTCTCTCATGAATAAATAAATAAAATCTTTAAAAAAGAAAACTGATGAAAGAAATTGAAGACACAAAGAAATGGAAAGACATTCCAAATTCCATGCTCATGGATTGGAAGAACAAATGTTGTTAAAACGTCTATACTATTCAAAGCAATCTACATTTTTTTTAAAGATTTTATTTATTTATTCATGAGAGACACAGAGAGAATGAGAGAGAGTGAGAGAGGCAGACCCACAGGGAGAAGCAGGCTCCATGCAGGGAGACTGACGTGGGACTCGATCCCAGGACTCCACGATAACACCCTGGGCTGAAGGCAGGCGCTAAACCGCTAAGCCACCCAGGGATCCCCACAATCTACATTTTTAATGCAATCCCTGTCAAAATACCAAAAGTATTTTTAACAGAAAACCTAAAATTTGTATGGAACCACAAAAGACTGAATAGCTAAAGCAATTCAAGCAAGCTTTTCAGGAAAAGAAAAGCAAATCTGGCATCATAATCCTGGACTTTACATTATATTACAAAGTCGTATATTTAAAACAGTATAGTACTGGCACAAAAAAAGACACATAGATCAATGGAACAAAATAGAATATCTAGAAATAAACCCACAATTATATGGTCAATTAATCTTCAACAAAGCAGGAAAGAACATTCAATGGGGAAAAGACAGTATCTTCAGCAAATGGTGTAAGGAAAACTGGACAGGAACATGCAAAAGAATGAAATTGGACTTTCTTATACCATACATAAAAATAAATTCAAAATGGATTAAAGACCTAAATTTGAGACCTGAAACCATAAAAATCCTAGAAAAGAGTACAGGCAGTAATTTCTCTGATATTGGCTCTAACAACTTTTCTTTAGATAGATTCCCTGAGACAAGGAAAAAACAAAAACAAAAATAAACTATTGGGACTATATCAAAATAAAAAGTTTCTGCACAGCAAAAAAAAAAAAAATCAATAAAAGTAAAAGGCAACCTATAAAATGGGAGAAGATATTTACAAATGACATATCCAATAAAGGATTAGTATCCAAAATATATAAAGAATTTATAAAACTCAATACCCAAAAAGGAAATAATCCAATTAAAAAATGGACAGAAGACATGACTAGACATTTCTCCAAAGACATACAAATGGCCAACAGTTACAAGAAAAGATGCTCATCATCACTTACCATCAGGGAAATATAAACAAAAGCTACAATGAGATATCACCTCACACTTGTTCAGAATGGCTAAAATCAACAACACAAGAAATAACAGGTGTTGGCAAGGACGTGGAGAAAAAAGAACACTTGTGCACTGTAGGTGGGATGCAAACTAGTGTAGCCACTGTGGAAAACAGTATAGAATTTCATCAAAAGGTTAAAAATAGAACTACCCTGTGATCTAGCAATTGCACTATCAAATATTTACCCAAATAATACAAAAAAACTAATTCAAAAGGATATATGCATCCCTGTGCTTAGAGCAGATTTATTTACAATGATCAAGATATGGAAGCAGCTAAAGTGTCCATTGACTGATAAATGGATAAAGAAGATGTAATATACATATATATCAGCTGTAAAAAAAAAAAAAGAATGAAATCTTGCCACTTGCAATGATAGGGATGGAGCTAGAAAATATAATGCTAAGGGAAATAAATCAATGAGAAAAAGACAAATACCATATGATTTCACTCATTTGGAGAATTTAAGAAATGAAACAAACGAGCAAAGCAGGGGAAAGAAAGAGACAAACCAAGAAACAGACTCTTAGCTATAGAGAAAAAAATTGGTGGTTACCAGAGGAAAGTGGGGGATGGGTGAAATAGGTGATGGGGATTAAGGAGTGCACTTGTCATGATGAACACTGAGTAATTAAAACTAAAACTTAAAAAAAATCACAATAAGATACTACTTCAAATCCATTGGAATGGCTAAAACCCACCAGAATGGAAAACAATTTGGGAGCTTCTTATAAATTTCAACATGCACTTTCCACTAGACCCAGAAATTCCACTTCTATGTATTTACTCAAAGGAAGTGACAACAAATGTCAACATAAAGACTTATATTTAAATATTCACAGCAGCATTATTCATTGTGATGGTTACTAGACTTAATATATTTGTCAAACCCACTGAACTGCATACCTTAAAAGGGTGCATTTCACTGTATATACATTACACCTCAACAAACCTGACTTATAAAAAAAAAATTCATTCAAAAGTCAGCCCTCTCTGACTCTATCCACGCTTGTCTAAATAACTCTTCCATACACTCATCCAAATTGTATTACAAAGCTATAGTAATCAAAACAGGATGGTACTATGCAGGTATTCATCAATCATCAGTTTACCAAGTCTAAGGATCTTGTCTTAACCATCTCTGGATCCTTAACAGTAAGAATAATGCCTGGTAGAAAGTAAATGATCTATCACTGAGCCTAAGTAATTCTGGCTATTTTCCTGATACATCTTAGTCTTGCTTTCCTCTGAAAATTTGTAATTCTATTTTATCTGATTTTCTAGTAGTATGTTACTTGTTATACCTATTCCGTAGGTGAGTTTTGACTTTCTATAATGATATTAAGTTTCTAATTGGCTTAAAAAACAAGTTTTCTATTTCTTTTGTTCTCCATTATACCGACATAACCAGCTTTATAAGAAGACACCCGAAAGCTGACTCTCTCAAGTTAGGACAGGTTCAACATAAACACAGGTGAGTATTCCAAGAAGATCACTACCTAAGGAATATGTGAGTTGAAAAGCACGAAGGCCACCTTCTTTGGCTCAAAACTCCCCTACCAGACTATACAGTCAATACAACTCTAACATTAAGAAGCATCATCCTCCATGAAATGTAGGTACTTTCAGAAGAAAGACAAGTGGGCAGCCCGGGTGGCTCAGCGGTTTAGCACTGCCTTCAACCCAGGGCCTGATCCTGGAGACCCGGGATAGAGTCCTGCATCGGGTTCCCCACATGGAGCCTGCTTCTCCCTCTCCCTCTGCCTGTGTCTCTGCCTCTCTCCCCTCTCTGTGTATTCTCATGAATAAATAAATAAAATCTTAAAAAAAAAAAAAAGAAGAAAGACAAGTGCTCAATACCATCGTCTATCCACAGCCAACTATGGTATGTGGGAAGACAGAGTATACACCTCACTGCAAGGTTCTAATTGGCCAGTAAAAGGCAACAAGTATCTCATACTGAAAGAGAGGAGAAAGGCCCTAAGCCAAAAGTCATTATTTTATCAATTTTCACTGAGACCAGTCCTAAAACAGAGGGAAAAATATAAAAACAAAAAAGGTTAGAGTGATTAGAACTTAGTTATAGAAAATATATATTATATGCATTCTTCTGGTCACTATAGGAGGACACAAAATAAAGTATATGGTAAGCAAAATGAGAATAGAGGGGTTTTTTAATGTGAAAGAAAAATATGTAGAATTAAATAGTTTCTTTAGAAGAAAGAAAGCAAAAAAAAAGGTAAAGGAAGGAAGGAAGGAAGGAAGGAAGGAAGGAAGGAAGGAAGGAAGGAAGGAAGGAAGGAAGGAAGGAAGGAAACGAACCTGAGTGGCTCAGTTGGTTAAGCGTCCAACTGCTGATTTCAGCTCAGGTAATTCCAGGGTCATGAAATTGAGCTTCAGGCTCTGCACTTAAGATTCTCTCTCTCTCTCTCTCAATCTCTCTCTTTCCCCCCAGGTCCCTCCCACCCCCACCACCATTCAAATGAACACATATACTCTAATAAACAAATGAATGAATGAATGAATAAATAAATAAACAAACCAGAAAGTCTATATTGAGTAAATATTAAGAAACATCAAGGATATTTATAGATATGACTAATATTTCGGAGTTACCATTAACAGTAGTCCCACAGGTATCACAAATAGACAAAGCATCATTCCAAGATTGTTGGGTGGTTACCAAGAACTACATGTTATATATCAGTGTGGTACAGCACAAAGAATGAATTTGTAAGTCAGCCAGGCCTGGATTTAAAACCTAGCTCCAGGGGCGCTGGCTGGCTCAGTCAATTAAGCATCTGTCTTTGGCTCAGATCATGATCAAAGGGTCCTGGGATCAAGCCTGCATTGGGATCCCTGCTCAGCTGAGAACCTGCTTCTCCCTCTCCCTCTGCCCCTCCCCCGGCTCATGCTCTTTCTCTCTCTCTCTCTCTCTCTCTCTCTCTCTCTCTCTCAAATAAATAAAATCTCTTTTAGTAAATAAATAAAAAAATAAATCCTAACTCTACCTACCAGTGTGATCTGAATTTTCCCATCTGGAAAATAAGGGCACTAATACCAACCTTCACAAGGCTGGTATAAATATTAAGTGTAATAACCTACATCAGAGGATGGTAAGAAGGTTTCATATCATAAGCAATCCTGATATATTGCTAGCTGCATCCCGGAACACTGTGTCCAAAGGGATTACGGAGCTACTTATCAGCTCAGCTAGAAGAGTCTTATGATCCAATAACTACCTCACTCATAGGGGCTTAGGAGTACTATACAAGTCAGGGATTTGTCAGCCCTGTGCTCAATAAACAGTAGCTCTCCTTCTTCCCAAAATAATCCAACTCTACCGGTCATAAAAGTATGTTCTATATTTGCAACTTAATTTTTAGATTCTATGAGGGAATAACCAATAAAACAGAAGAAGTACAATGAAATGGGAAAGCATATTCTTTCCTGAAAAAAAAAATCTTCTTAAATTAGAGGCTTAGGGTGCTTCTTCGTAAGTTTCTTCTATTAAAAATTATTTTTTAAACTTGGCAATGACTCAAAGTTTCTACAATTAAATAAATAATCATAAAAGTTCTCTCTTTATAATCGGAAATATAGAATCTGAAGAATCTACAGAAAGGTTAGACAGGTTAATTTAGAGAAGACAAATACTCAAAACTATAGTCTAAAAATTACCTGCTGACCCAAATATTTCAGCCCATCCAAACAGACTTTCCATTCAATCAAAAGCTGGTAAATGTCCTCCTTTCCACCCCATATCTTCACCACGAAACAAGACACGGATGTATCAAGACGGTCCGGGATTATTCCAAAATCGAGACTCCGCCACGTTGGATTCTGTTGATGGAAAGGAAAGCATGAAGACTCTAATTTGTTTACAGGTATTAAAAAATACTTTATTGCTTAAAAATGTAACCATTAAAAAAAATTTTTTTTAATTTAAAAAAAAGGACCCATCATCTGAGTTTTCTGCAAGTCATAATCTCTGCTGGTGGAGGGTCTTGCCTCAGTGTTGATGGCAGGGTGGTGGTTGCTGAAGGATGGGGTAGCTGTGGCAGTATCTTAAAATAAGACCACAAAGTTTGCTGCATTGATTGACTCTTCCTTCATGAACAATTTCTCTGGCACACAATGCTGTTTGGTAGCATTTTACCCCCTGTAAAATGTTTTTCAAAAATATAATCAATCCTCTCAAACCTACCACTGCTTTATCAACTAAGTTTATGTAATATTCTAAGTCCTTTGTTGTCATTTCAACCATCTTCATAGCAGCTTCACCAACAGTAGATGCCTTCTCAAGAAACCACTTTCTTTGCTCAACCATAAGAAGTAACTGCTCATCTGATCAAGTCTGATCATGAAATGCATCAATTCAGTCACATCTTCAGACTCCACTTCTCATGCTAGTTTTCTTGTTATTTCCACCACATCTGCAGTTATTGCCTCCACTCCAGTCTTGAATCCCTCACAATATTAGGTTTGGAATCAGCTTCTTCCAAACTTCTGTTAATATTATTTTGACCTCTTCCCATGAATCACAAATGGTCTTAATGGTATCTAGAATAGTGAATCCTTTCTGGAAGGTTTTCGATGGACTTTGCCCAGATCCAGCAGAGGAATCACTATCTATAGCAGCTATAGCCTTACAAATTGTATTTCTTAAATAGTAAAAACTAGAAAGTTGAAATGACTCCTTGTTCCATATGGGCTACAGAATGGATGTTGTGTTAGCAGCTACAAAAACAACACTAATTTCCTTGTACATCTCTATCAGAATTCTTGGGTGGCCAGGTGCATTGTCAATGAGAACTAATATCTTGAAAGGGATCTTCTTCTGAGATCTCAACAGTGGGCTTAAAATATTTATGAAATCGGGATCCCTGGGTGGCGCAGTGGTTTAGCGCCTGCCTTTGGCCCAGGGCGCAATCCTGGAGACCCGGGATCGAATCCCACGTCGGGCTCCCGGTGCCTATGTCTCTGCCTGTGTGTGTGTGTGTGTGTGTGTGTGTGACTATCATAAATAAATTTTTAAAAAAATTAAAAATATTTATGAAATCATATGGTAAACAGATGTGCTACCATTCAGGCTTTCTTGTTCCTATTTTAAAGCAAAGGCAGAGTACATTTAGCATAACTTTTAAGGACCCCAGGATTTTCAAAATGGTAAATGACATTGGCTTCAGCTTGAAGTCACCAACAGCATTAGCCCCTAACAAGAAAGTCAGCCTGTCCTTTTGAAGCTTTGAAGCCAGGCACTGATTTCTCTAGCTGTGAAAGTCCTAGATGGCACCTTTTTCCAATAAGAAGGCTGTTTCATCTGCATTGAAAATCTATTGTTTAGTGTAGCCACCTTCATTAATTATCTTCACCAGTCTTCTAGATAATTTGCTGCACATTCTACATCAGCCCTCACTGCTTCACCGTGCACTTCTATGTTATGGACGTGGCTTCTTTCCTTAAACCTCATGAACCAACCTCTGCTAGCTTCACACTTTTCCTCTGCAGCTTCCTCAGGTCTCCCAGCCTTCATGTAATTGAAGAGAGCTAGGGCCTTGCTCTGGATTATACTTAGATTTAAAGGAATGTTGTAGCTGATCTGACCTTATATCTAGACCTCTCAAACTTTCTCCACATCAGCAATAAGGCTGTTTCACTTGATCACTGGGTGTTCACTGAAGTAGCACTTTCAATTTCCTTCAAGAACTTTTCCTCTAAACTGAGGGGGTATTATGCTGAGTGAAGTCAGTGAGTCGGAAAAGGACATTCATCATATGGTTTCACTCATACAGGGAATATAAGAAATAGTGAAAGGGATTATAAGGGAAAGGACGGGAACTGAGTGGGAAAAATCAGAGAGGGTGACAAAACATGAGAGACTCTTAACTCTGGGAAACACACAAAGGGTTTTGGAAGGGGAGGTGGGCAGGAGGGATGGGATAACTGAGTGACAGACACTGAGAAGGGCACTTGATGGGATGAACACTGGGTGTTATACTATATGTTGGCAAATCCAACTTCAATAAAAAAATGAAAAAAAGAAAATTCAGATATAAATGTTGAGGATATATTAAAAATTATTATAAAGTTAATTTAGTGCCTCCCCAAGAAAAACCTTTTCCTGTACATTCACAACTTGGCTAACAGTTTGGTGCAAGAGGCCTAGCTTTCAGTATATCTTGGCTTTCAATATGCTCTCCTCAACAAGCTTAATCGTTTCTAGCTTGTGATTTAGAAAGGCATGTAACTGTCTCTTTCATTTAAATGCTTAAGAGGCCACTGTAGGGCTATTAATTGCCCTAATTTCAATATTGTTGTATCTAGGGGAATAGGGAGATGCCTGAGGAGAGGGACAGAGTTGGAGGAATGGTTAACTGGTGGAGCAGTTAGAACACACAGAACATTTATCAATTAAGTCCACTGTCTTATATGGGTGCAGTGCATGGTGCCCCAGAATAATTGTGATAGCAATATCACAGATCACCAAAGCAAGTATAATCATAATGAAAATTTTGAAATATTGTGAGAATCACTAAAACATGACACAGAGACAGGAAGCATGCAAATGTTTTGGGGGAAAATGGTACCAACACACTTGCTCAAAGCCCAGTTTCTATAAACATTCATTTTTTAAAAGCACATTATCTGCAAAGTACAGTAAAATGAGGTATACCAGTAAATACCTCACCTGCGCACCCAAGCACCATTTGCTGAGTGAACCAACCAACAGAAGGAGGAACATCAGTAGAGAGGCTCGTGCAGGGGTGCCTGCAGGTGACACTCTCCAACATGGAGAATGGAGCCGGGACACGTAAGGGAGAGGTGTTTTGGAACAAGATGTGACAGCTGGCTGAGGGTGAAGGTGAGGTGCCAGGTAAGGGAAGAATCGAGAATGTCTCCTGGGTTTCTGTCTCACACACCCGGGCGGGTGATGGGCCACTTTCCGTGCAGGGGGAGGCTGACAGAGGCTAAGGGATGCAGTGTGGGGGCGGGGTACCCCGGCCAAGAGAACCAAGAGGCCCCACTTGAACTCCAGCCTCGAGATGCCTTTGGGAGGAGTGAGCGCAGACGTGGGGAAGGGGGGGGCAGTCTGGAGCCCAGAGAAGAGGCAGAGGTGGAAGCAGCAGCCACGTCAGGAGCCAGGTCACCCAGGGAGAGTGTGAGGGAAGGGAAAAGAGGGCCAGGACCTACGGGGGTCCCAACGGTCTTAGAACCAACAAAAACCAAACCAGGGGCGTCTGGGTGGCTCAGTGGCTGAGCAGGTATCTTCGGCTCAGGACGTGATCCCGGGATGCGAGATCAAGTCTCACGCTGGGCTCCCTGCGAGGAGCCTGCTTCTCCCTCTGCCTGTGTCTCTGCCTCTCTCTCTAGGTCTCTCATAAATAAATAAATGAATCTAAAAAAAAAAAAAAAGAAACAACCAACCAACCAAGGTCACGTTAGTGTGGTGAGCTGGAGAGCCTTTTTAGCCTCTCCGAGTTTGTTTCCTCCTCTGTAAAATGCGATAATAAACCTTTCCCAGAGGACGATACCCCAAAGCACCAGACGCACGAGTCGGGGTTCAGCAGATGACAACAGCCCTTAGGAGGGCTCTGAATTCTCCATCCTGACAAGGCCGGAAAGGGAACAGACTCAGCTCTTCTCCAGCCAAAGCCAGCAGAAACAGACCCCTAAGCCATCTCAGTGAGTCCCCCTCACAGCTCTGCTTGTTCTCCAGGCTCCTCCAGAGAGAGCACTGGCCGGCCCTGACCCACAAGGGAAGTCCATCCTGCACGCAGCTCCTCAGAATGAACAGCAGTACTTCTGAATTTCGCTCCTTATTTATTATAGTCATTAAAAGGAGGATATATGATAATACGGCTTCATATGGTATACACTTATTTATTCAACACTTAAGACAGAATTATTAAGAACTGAAACATAAACAGTGTCTTCAAAGTACTTCCAACTTGTTAGATTCAAACCCCTAATTACATCATTTCATGAAAAGTTCAGTTATAGAATTATGCACAAGGCTATACAGTAGCACAGAAGGGAAATAATAAACTTTGAGGAATAGGGGAAAGACATCACCACAGAGGCTGTGCAACTTGGCTTTTAAAGGACAAACAGAATTTCCCCAGGTTAAAATAAGGACTTTCAGGTGTAAAGAACACAATAAACAAGGGCTCAGCAGTGTGATATAGTAAGATGTGGTCAGGGAGCTAAGAAAACTCCTGGAATGCACAACGCAAGAGTGGCAGGACACACAGCTCGAGAATAACAAGCAGCTACACTGAAGGATCTTTCAGGGCACCTGGTTGGCTTAGTCAGTCTACCAGATTCTTGGTTTCAGGGTTGTTGAGTGTGAGCCCCATGTTGGGTAGAAAATTACTTAAAAATTAAAAAACCATTAAGTAACTTGCCAACATCATGCATTTGGTTATATCTGGAGCAGGAAGTCAAAGTCTACATATCTGACTTAAAAGACATGATAACAACGAAAAATAAAACAAAAAGATAGTGATAACATTAGGTAACTTTTGTGTATGAGGTAGGCCACGCTGCTGGGGATCATTTAGCATAAAGCAATTGAGTTTTATGTCCTAGGCAGCCCCTGAAAGATGACTCTAGTAGAAGATGTGATGTTCCTCATGATAAGCTCCAGTCAATGAGAAAAAGGTAAATAATGTCCCCTAAATAGGAAGAGAGGGGAGGGGAACCAAAAAAAAAATGTGATACAGATATAAAAAATTCAAATGATAACATTTCTTCTAACTGGAATTCAACAGACCACCAACTCCACTATCCTTGAATAGTTAAAAACAAGAAGCATGGAAACAAAGCTACTTAAACTAACA